CGATAAGCCCTCTTGAAAGCCATGAAGAGTCATTTCTCTCGGGTGTAAATCCGAAGTGAGAAATACCGGGCTCTGATACCATTCCTAACACTGCCTCTTCGTGCTATAGGAAGGGAGAGATGTTATCACAAAAATGTGTCGACTAGGTGAGGCTAAACCGGAGTCTTGACTTGAATTGACGATTAGGAAGAGCTCATTTTAACCCTTATTATTGGAAGGGACATTACTGATCTTGAAACCCCCCTAAGCTGCTAAGTAGTAGCCACTTCTCCTTTTGCACAATTAGAAATAAGCTGCAAATAGCATGCAAGTTAGAGTAATGTTAGCAAACTGATATTTTCCAATGAACACTATTAGATAACGCCATGAGTTGGGTACTATTTGGAAAGATAATATTTCCCATCATTGAAGGTAGGACACTATTATTAGGTGAAAAGAAAGATAAAGGCCAATTTCAAGAGCAACATAAGACAAGCAAAAAGACCTTAGAACTCGGCCAAGATAAAATACCTAGTTCACAAGCGATCAAAGAAAGGTATGCTCACCATCGAATGGTAGTCATAAGAACTCCTCATAGACTCCAAGTCCTAAAGAACCCTTGGGTTCATGGGAGAGGCCCCTTCCAATGAAGAGGATCCGACCTCCTCCACCCTCGGATTATTAGAAGATAGAACACAAACCTATACCAACTGACGAATAGATGATTGAGAAAAACTTGTACGAGAGAGGAAAGATATCTTGACTTGAGACAAAAGAGCAGAATTGACATCAGGATAAAGGACTCAAAAATTGACCTGCCTTCCCAGAAACCGAGGCAAGGAGGACACACTCTTAAGGAGGCCTTGGGGGCGAGGCCAAGAATTCTCGAGGCTTCGAAGACTCTAGACTTAAAGCCCCAGATGGAAGAATGAATCCCACCATACGAGATGAGGGGATTTATAAGGAGGAAACTGGTCTCTCTTCTCTCACAATCAAGATAAGTATCCTTTCGAGGGCAAATCCCAAGAGGCTTACCGTGATGGAAATGTTCAAAACTTGCCACTATGGAGAGAGGAATTCTTTTGACTACTCACGTCTATGCTCATATATCTCGGATTACTAACTTGAGCATCAGAGAGATCAGGTTGAGAAACCTCTTTCGACCTCAGTCTTCATGCAGGTGGCATCTTAGGAGCATGTTGTTTCTATCTCAAAGACACTTAAGACAATCGTACGTATACGGGTTCAAACTATACCAGGTTGATCAAGACATCAATGATATTTTTTCCTAACACCTATCGAAGTGAAGGTAGGTTTCCTACAATTGTTATAAGTACTTTCTCGAAAAAAAAAAAAAAAGGTTGAGAATTGAAGTCAGGATTTTAATCACGAAAAGGGTTTATTTATTCAGATGTATAAATGATAATTATTCTCTCTAAATCTCATATTGATGGAAGTTTTAAACCTCGTATCATTGTATAATATAGACCTAGTGATTGAATTGAGGAACAAATTATATAATCATGTCAAATTTTTTATGGTAGTTAAGTTTTTGAGGCACTATATTTCAATTATGGATAATTTGATCCATCGAACTTGGATATCTCATAGTCTTCGCACACATCGATATGCTAAAAAATGTTCTCTTTTACCCATAGCTCAAACATGGTAGATACATCATCACTAGACAACAACGATAAAAAAACTCAATCGATGGATACGTCACATCCAAATATTTTCTATTGTGAGAAATATTTCTCTAAATGCAAACGATTTAGGGTGGATCAATTATAAAAGGTAAACGAACACGGCTTTTGGGGTTCGATTTCTCCCTCACCTCTAAATCCATATTGTAGTCTAATTTGAACGTCAAAAGTATCATGACAGAAACCATTTCCCAACACTAATGTTTGTGCAGAGAGGCACCTCGAGCTCAAAGAGACATACTGGGAAAATCCAACTCCTTAGACGACATGGAACTTTTCAGGACTAAACCAAACTGAGTTGATCAATCCACTCAAAGATAATCACCAACATTAGATGATAACAGATATCCAATATTATCGAAAGGAAAATCTATAGCAAATCTTTTTGAGAAGATTTGCCACATATCAAATGGGAATAAAACCTAGCCGCCACTCAGATGACAGCGACGGCACTATGCAAAATTCTAAAGGAATTGATGTTACAGCCATAGTCTCACATGTCGGACTGTGACAAGCAATCCTGCAATTAAGATATATGACAATTCCATTCATTTAAAGCCGAGTTTTGAATTTACAAGGTTATATTATTATTCCGGTCTTTAGTCCACTAAAGTCTCTCTTGAATGAACTGTTTGAGATATATGTGACACAAAGAAATCCTATTCTCTTCGGCACCAAATGCGGCGGAAATAAAGGGGATGTATTGTATGTTGACAAGTAACCTCCTCTCTGATCTTTCATGGCCAAAGTACAGAGTGTCCAAGGCTCTTCCAGATGAGAGCATGCATGCATGCATGGATCGATGACGTGTACTGGAACTGTAGCAAATCTTGGCACTCCGGACACCGAGTGGAACACCTTCCTGGCGATGTGACCATTCCTGGGAGTTCAGTTCCTTCACGGGTCTATCTTAAAACGCATGCATCATTTTCTTTGGAGGCTCCAACATATGCGTTCCGGTTTCTCTCACCTCTATCCGTGGGATATCTTCGTAAAGCCTCTGTGAAATATGACTTGACAATGAAGCACTTCAGTGATAACATATATTCTCAGGAAGAAAGAACAGTATACGTTTGACTTTGCAAGTTTCCTCCATATCTGGAATTGCTGTGTCAACCTCTGTGGTAACAGAGAAGTTGGAAACCATGCACGCAGGTGCACACTTTCTTTCTCTCGCTTCCTCGTTGGCTTCCTTCCGCTTTTCTTATTCCTTTTTTTGCCTTCTTTCCTTACCTTTTTCCTTCTCCCTTTCACAGTTCACAACATCCAAATACTCTTCTTCCTCTCTTCCTGGACCACGGCGGCATTCTCAAGGACAAGTAGGGCTGGTTGATCTATGAAGGAGAATCAAAATGAAGTTTGACCTTTATCTTGTTGAGCAACAAGTGCAGCTCAATTCATTCTTAAGAATTTTTTTTCTGACATGACCAGGTTCATCCACAACCGTCAGCAAATGTAGGGCATGATAGAGAAGAATATTTGTTAGATTGTCTTGGTACAATGTTTGCCAAATCATATATTTGTTCTTATCGTACCGCTAATTCATCATTTGTCGTTTAATTATTATACTTCAATATTGTCGTGTGGTAAGGAGATGTATAGTCATGCTACAAAGTCCTCTCGATTTAGCCAAGGATATTATTTCGTATAGTGTATAGTGTTGGATGACAACAAAAGATTCATGCGATCGACTAAAAATAATTGGACTTTACGATTTATTATTGTTATTGTTATGGAACGAAATGATCCGCAAGGGCCACATCCACCGATTTCAGCAATTAGTTAAACACAAATTATTTGTCGAAAAGAAACTAAGTTGAATCGAGATAAAATGAAGAATAAAGTAGCTAATGTCATGTTGACCCCTAAGCTGCTCATGGATTGTGACATGACTTAGAATTCAAGTTCATCTTCCTTGATAGAGCGATGAGTTGAAGGAGACCCTTAATTCCCTTGCTACGTACACACCTACTCGTCAAAGCACTCCCAAAGCAAAGGAAAAGACGGGCATCATGATAAGTGGATTGCTCACCTTAGTCAAGTCTTGCACTTGGAGATATGAATGCATGCCAAATTATAGCTCCGGTTGGTTAAACTCACAAGCCAGACAAGCATGCTGGGTTGGACAAGCACCTGAGCGTAACAAATGGTGGAATTTAGGTAATTGCTTCCAAACACTGCATTTCTTGCACACCACTCGTTTCTTCAAGATTGTTCTCTTCTTCATCTTGAAGCCACTTGGAAAGATTGCATCTAAAAGATAAGAGTCAACCCTATGGTCCACCACTGATGAAACCTATAGCTATAAGTTTGGGCAAATTTTATGTGACTTGCAATCTTGTTATGCCTTGTGCAATCTGCAAAAGAAAAGTGTGGTGGAAAAAAACCATCCAAATCTACTAGCGGTAATATTCATCATCATATTGAGGATGTGAGCTCGGTAGAAAATCTATCACTCATATAATAATAATAATAATAAATATATATTATCTGAATCAAAAATGATTTGAAGAATACGTATTTGCTCTTTCGGCTTCTTACATTTTACCTCCAGATGTTTCTTCACATGCAGTGTGGACTGACTTGGACATTGGAGGGTCTTCATCCTAGGAAGATTCTTATCGATCTTTCCTTGCGAGAGAAGCGGAAGCCTAGTCCTAGTCCAATATGGAGCTCCTCTTTATATCAATTGCATCTCCTTGAGATTGGTGTTGTTGAATTATCCTTTTGAGTGCGATAAGATTCAGAAGACGATCGAACAATCTCTGAACTCAATATAATTCTCAAGTTTTAGCAAACTGTGACTATGACCAAATCAAGTTTGCAGAGGCTTTACGCTTACCAGCAACTAATGATCGATCATGGAAGCTGCTTTAACCAGAGTCAGTGCAAACCAACCAAATAGGCTCGAGTAGCATATGCACGTGTCAAGCACTCTCCCAGGAATGAGCATGGCTAGAATCGACAAGCAAACAGTGCACCAGTTGCCAGCAAACGGAGGATGACGAAGAGAAGAGATGTCATCCATCAATTTGATGTGATGTATCCATGTTCACCGATCTTTATCTAGTTGTGTCATTCTGGTGAAATCGGGGAAGTCTGCAGATACAGTTTTCTTGAAAGCTTCGAAGTCTACAGATACAGTTTTCTTGAAAGCTTTGCTGCCTACAAGAAATCATGTGAGTGTGGAAAGCAAACCCTGAGTATCCTCACAGTCTTTTTCCTGCAACATGCAACAGACTGGAGGAAGAAAGGCTGAAGCATCTCATGACATCTTGGCTTGCACGAGAACCCTATTCGTCAAGAAGCATACAACAAGCTCCCATCGGTACAGGGTTCACTTTTACCTAAAAGATATTAGCAAAAAGGGAACTCGGTTTCTGCTCCACTCAAGTAGCTTTTGAACATGTCATGCAATTCATCCACGCACCACAAGTCATCCCCAACATCGCTGCTACAATCATTGTTAGCCACAGTGTGATGATCTGATGCCGGCATGGGTGTTAGGCCCCAGGCGTCTAGATCATAAGCATTGTTCATGGAGCTAATGATACTGGAGAATTGATCCAAGGTGACGCTGTTGGGATCGGACATAGCAACTGGAACTTGAGGAAGCACGGTGGAGCAGGATGTTAACTGAGCTTGATCGGTTGTTGGAGCGTTGGTGTTGGCAACGGGGTTTTGCATGGTCTGAGAAGAGCCTATCTTCTCAAGCAACCTTGGCGTCCAGTGGCACCGGAGGGCATCCCGGAACATGGTACTGTTGGCATCAACCTTCATCTGCCTCGCCTGCTTCTGCACTCGAGTCCTCCAGTAGTTCTTGATCTCGTTGTCTGTTCTACCCGGTAGATGTTGCGCAATTCTCGACCACCTGTGCATGCTACCAAAAGTTGGATGACTGGAAATCGCCCATCTTTAATCCAAAAAGAAAAGAAGAAGAAGAAGAAGAAGAAGAAGAAGAAGAAGAAGGAATCACCTATTCCCCCACTTGGAGTGGAGTTCGAGGATTAGGAGCTGCTCTTCCTGGGAGAGATTACCTCGCTTTATATCGGGCTTCAGGTAATTCAACCACCTCAGCCGACAACTCTTGCCGGTTCTCTTCAAGCCTAGGAATCAGCCAAAACGATGTGCAGACTATTATAGATCAGGAAGAAAGAGAAGAAAGGAAACACTAGCCTTTCTTATCAGATCAGATGCATGGATGGCTTACCGGAGCACCTGGCGAGGAGATTCCAACGACCTTCGCCATGGCAAGCAATGTAGTGCGTGAGGAGTGTGTCCTCCTCGAGAGTCCAAGGCCCCCTCCTTACCTCCATTTACGTACCAATCCAGGAAAAGCTCTCAGCGGTAGGGTGGCTTGGCGAAGCTTACATGGAGGAAAAGAAGGCCAAGTTTCCAATGTTATATAGAGGATGCCAAGATGAGGTAAGCTTTCTAACGAAAAGACAGACAAAGTAAGTGGTCTTCTAAAGATAGATAAACTCCTCTATGACTCGTGGCAATCATAAAGGAATCTTTGGAGGTGATGGACTCTTGGTTATTGACTTTGAGGTTGGTGTGGGAAGAAAGGAGAGAGAAGGTGAGGAAGCTGTGGGAGTGAGTCATTCAATCAAGCCTCCTTGGGCGGCGGGGGTTTGAAGGCATTCTTGGATCATCTTCTACATAAACGTGTTTGAGTGTGCAATATTAGATTACAGTTGCTGATACTATTTATCTGTCTTGCTAACATCCTCCTGATGAACAAAACAGTCACAATATATTCTTTTCCATTTCAAAGACGGGTACAAAAACTTGAATATTGTTAGTAAATATTAGGAAAGATTGAAAAGAAAAGGAATCAAAATGTATAGTTATATATGTTTACAATTTACAACTGCAGTAGGATTTGTTTATTTTACCTAGGGTTAATAATCGTGTCATGGGAATAAAGTATAACTGTAGTTTTAGCAACCGTAGGAAAATGTTTACGTATTACTACAATTCATTGACCGCAGTGACAGATGGAACCCTTTCAGCAGAGAAAAATCACACTAATAGATGAATTTTCTCTACGAAGAATAACTATGGTAATGGATGAATTTCTTGTATGAAGAGTAACCACGCTAATAATTAACTTTACCCTAAAATTATCAATCACGATAATAGGTCATGCTTTATCTAGCAAAAAAAATATATATATTTTATCTTCCAAAACGTAATCAGAGTTAATGTTGATTAGTTTGATTAAGACTCATCAATTTCTAACCTAGTATCAGAGTTAAGGTCTATGAAAAAGAGAAGAATGAGTCTAGAAAATCGAAAAAGTAAAACTAAATATTGATGATGATCATTAAAAGTTTGTATTTGTAGAGCGTAATAATCATAACAAAACACTGCTTTATATCTATATGAATGTAATGAAATTGTCTCTGGACCACAAAACCTATGTTGTTTGTTAGTTTGGCAAGTCTCATAGTCCCACATCGGAAAAATGAGGCTTGTCATCTTCTATTGGAATTATAAAAAAGGGTTTGGGCATTGAAGTCAGATGCACGCACCACAAGTGACACCACACGTGGCACCACAAGAAAACCTAATTTGTTACTTTAGGTTTTTCTTGTTCAGTAATTTCGGGTGTCTTATGGCCTAGGAACATTTTTCTAAGGCATTTGTAATTGTCCCTTTTATAGTAGTGATTTTCTCCTCTTTCGTCCGTGGATGTAGGTCAATGTCAATTGATCGAACCACGTAAATCTGGTGTTCTTGTCGCTTCTTTTATTCTTCCGCTTTATTGTATTTGTTGGGTTACCAAAATTACCCTTTGGTAAATTTCTTGGGGAGCCGAGAGCATTCCAGATAATATGTCAAAAGAAGAGCTTGCAGTATGGATAAGAAGGCCCGATCAAGGATCATTCTAAATCTCTCTAACGATGTTTTACGGGAGGTAGCTTTACGGGAGGTTGCTACGGAGACTACGGCTAAGAGCATGTGGGACAAGCTTAAAGCCTTGTACATGAAGAGGACAGTGGAGAATCGTCTCTACTTGAAGCAGAGTCTGTATATGCTTCGGATGATTGAAGGTAGATCTATACTCTCACATCTTGATAAATTTGATTCTTTGATTATATATTTAGAGAATATAGATGCAAAAATTGATGACGAGGATAAGGCCATATTACTCTTGTGTTCTCTTCCCCAATCTTTTAAGCATTTCCGTGATACTTTGATTTATGGAAAAGAAACAGTTTTGTATCAAGAAATTAAATCTGCACTGAAATCTAAGGGGCAGATAGACAGGAATATCACTGGGGAAAGTAGAGAGAATCAGGCTGAGAGTCTGGTTGTCAGGGGTAGAATGGATAAAAGATAATTTGACAGTAGTAGATCTAAATCTAGATCTAAATCCAGACATAGAAATTTGGAATGCAGATATTGTCATAAAATGGGGCACATTAAGACTGATTGCTTTAAATTGAAAAATAAATTAAAGCAAAAGGGAAAACTTGTTGAGAAAACTACTGAGTCCGCTGAAGCTAGTGTAGCATCTGATGAGAATGTTGAAAATATTTTCTTTGCTACTGATGACAGGATAATGTCTAAAAATGAATGGATTTTAGATTCGGGTTCTTCTAATCACATGTGTCCCAATAGGGATTTGTTTTCCACATATGAATCTTGTAATGGTGGAATTGTTTTGATGGGCAATAATGCCGCATGTGATGTTGTTGGTAGAGGCACAATCCGAATTAAAATGCATGATGGTATTGTGAGGACGCTCACTAATGTTAGACATGTTCCTGATTTAAAAAAGAATCTCATCTCTTTAGGCACCCTAGAGGCCCTTGGGTGTAAATACACAACTGAAGGTGGAGTTATGAAAGTTTCTATAAGTGCTCTTGTTGTTATGAAAGCTTGTAGGTCTGGTAGCTTGTATATTCTGCAGGGAACTACTGTCACAGGTTCGGTTGCAGTTTCGTCATCATCATTGTCTGATTCTGACATCACCAAATTATGGCATATGCGTTTGGGTCATATGAGCGAAAAAGGTTTAAGCATATTGAGCAAAAGAGGTCTACTTTGCGGACAGAGTACTGGGCCATTGGATTTTTGTGAACACTGCATTTTTGGAAAGCAGAAAAGAGTCAGCTTCACTTCTCCGGCAATTCACAAAACGAAAGGTACTCTTGACTATATTCATTCAGACCTTTGGGGTCCAGCTCATGTTCAGTCTAAGGGTGGTGCTAGGTATATGTTGACTTTCATTGACGATTATTCTAGGAAAGTTTGGGTTTATTTTTTGAAGCATAAAAATGATGTTTTTCTAACCTTTAAATAATGGAAGGCTTTGATTGAGAAACAAACAGGTAAACAGATTAAGAGGCTTCGAACAGATAATGGCATGGAATTTTGTGAATGTGACTTTAATGAATTTTGCAAAAATGAAGGAATCGCTCGGCATGGCACTGTTAGGATGACGCCTCAACAAAATGGTATGGCCGAACGTATGAACATACCACTCTTAGAGAGAGCAAGGTGTATAATATCAAATGCAGGGTTGACAAAGGACTTTTGGGCAGAGGCGATTAATATGACATGTTACGTTGTCAACCGTGCTCCTTCTACAACACTTAACTTTAAAACTCCGGAGGAAGTTTGGTCAGGTACTCCTGCTGATTACTCTGATTTAAAAATTTTTGGGTGTCCAACATACATGCATGTAAATGAAGGAAAATTAGAGTCTCGAGCTAAAAAATGCATTTTCCTTGGGTATGCTTCTGGGGTGAAAGGATATAGATTATGGTGTTCTGATCTCAAATCCCCAAAATTTATAATAAGTAGAGATGTTACTTTTGATGAATTGTTTATGTTATCTTCCAAAGAGGATTCTACTAATTGTACAAATGATAGTGCGCAGAAGCAGGTGGAGCTTGAGATTGGTAGTTCAGATTCCTTTAAGTCGAACTCTTCTACTCAAAGAATGCCAATAGGTGGTCCCGAGTCTACTGACGCAGATGATCCAGAGAAAGAGCAATATTCCATAGCCAAGGATAGACCACGGAGAGATATTCGACCACCACAAAGATATGCAAATTTGGTTGCATATGCTTTGTCTGTTGTAGAAGAGACAAGTGAAGTTAGTGAGCCTACTTCCTACTCAGATGCAGTTTCTTGTGATAATTCTACTAAGTGGTTGGTTGTGATGAATGAAGAAATTGAGTCTCTCCATCGGAATAGAACTTGGGATCTTGTGAAACCGCCTTCGGGTAAGAAAATTGTTGGATGCAAATGAGATACTATTGCTGAGGGGAAAGTCCTTGTTCAGAAAATTCATACAAAGGACAATCCAGCTGATATGTTTACGAAGCCTCTTCCGATTTACAAGTTCAAGCAGTGCTTGGACTTGGTTGGTATTCATTGTTGGTGATTGCCCATTGGGGCTTTTGTGAAGAAGGTGGAGCAAGTTTTGTTGGGACATGCCAAGGTGGAGATTTGTTAGTTTGGCAAGTCCCATAATCCCACATCGGGAAAATGAGGCTTGTCATCTCCTATTAGAACTATAAAAAAGGGTCTGGCATTGAAGTTAGATGCACCACAAGTGACACCATAAGTGGCACCACAAGAAAACCTAATTTGTTGCTTTAGGCTTTTCTTGTTCAGTAATTTCGGGTGTCTTATGGCCTAGGAACATCTTTCTAAGACATTTGTAATTGTCCCTTTTATAGTAGTGATTTGCTTCTCTTTCGTCCGTGAATGTAGGTCAAAGTCAATTGACCGAACCACGTAAATCTAGTGTTCTTGTCGCTTCTTTTATTCTTCTACTTTATTATTTTTGTTGGGTTGTCAAAATTACCCTTTGATAAATTTTCTGGGGCTAACTCTAACATTGTTGTCCTTTCTAATAGGCATGATATATGCACTCATAAATAAACCATTCAACAAAGAAGCATGCATTATTTATACTTTCTTAAACCTAAGAGAATAACAATGTACCTATCGGACCATTATAAATTGAGTCATCATAAACCCTCTCTAAGTTTGCCACTCACGGTGCTTGGTCTGTGTTCGAGGTTGCCCGGATAGCTTGTGATATCTGAGTGGAGTAAGATCTAAGTTTGACATGGCAATTGATGAGAACATATAGATTGAGACATCAACTTTTCTTGATGCTGTTCGAATTGGGATCATAACAAGTTGGAGTTTCAGTATAAATGGTAAGTTGGAATGCCTTTGCAATCATCCTTTCGATGTTTACTTTTTGAAGGTGATACTGAGGAAGATGGACAACCTCTACAAAAGCCAACTGTGACGCTCAGTCATTCATGAGACCCCACAATAAAGCAACTCGGGACTAAGGATCAGGCCCTCGATAGGACTAAGAATCAAATGACAGTTCTTTACGAGGAAGAAGTACCTCCAAGTATGAGCAATTCTCTGTCGACGTTGATCACCAATTTTAGGATTGTATTGCACAGTATTATTCTTTTAGTGCAAAATGACCGGGATGAAGTAGAGAGAACTCACTCGACTTGGTTCCTCTCCACCTAAATACTATGATCCTTACAAAAACTACATAAGATCAAGCTTTATAAAGTTTTACGAGCTACTCAAAATTTTATATTACTTACTTTTAACATCCTGAACCCTCTATACCTAAATAATATGAACCTCAGTGATTTACACACTTGGATATCACATCTATTTATAAACGTAGGATGATATCTTTAACCATGATAACACTATATTATCTTATCATATATTCATGTCTATTTGATTTTATTTATAATAATAGTAATCATATCATCTAATCAATTTATCTAAAAATCAATCCTACCAGATAAAACTCTTAAAATCTCATCATATAATATTACTTTAAACTTCACATATACACATAGGTTGACATATCCATATCTATTTGATTTTATCTAAAACTTTACCGTGTTATCAATAATTCAATACTACAAGGTAAAACCTGTTAAATGATATTACATTAAACTTCACACATTAATCTTGAAAGTATATTCTTCATAGGAAGGATGAATTATTGGAAAAGTTTTCTTTTTGGGTTTTTTTCAAAAAGGTTTTTTTTTTTTTGATCAAATCTATCTATGGGATGAACCGGTCTAATTCCTCAATTATAGTATTTTTGAATAGACTTATATTATTTTGAATGTTTGAATAAACCTAAATATCATAATCTTCCTATTTAGTTGTTCTTGTTTATAAAATAATAAAAAAATATTTAAAACTTTATTTTTTGTATATGAGTTGAGTTTTGAATTGATCGAGTTAGTTATAATATTTTTTAATAGATTTATAGTTTTTCTATAAAAATATCTAAAATACTCTAATTGATAGTATAAATTTTATATATAAGGTGTAACTGATAGCAACTAAGATTTTTCATGATACATGTCGAGATTTTTTTAACTACATAAGAAAATATCGTTGCTCTATTGAGAAAAATCTTCTTTGTGTATAAATAAAGAGTACCATATTAAACACATATATCTTTCTTCATTTCATTCTTACTAACTTGTCATGTGATATTTAAGGAATCATGATAAATAGAAATGCTATTTAGAAAATATGAAAAAGATATCTCTCGAAACAAGTAAAAAAATAAAAACCATACGACACGAATGTCACATCAATGTTTCTCATCAGAGAAGACGACGAAGGTACAGACGGGTGAGAACATTTGTACGAAAACATCATCATGTTCCAAGCAATAATGTGTTTGTTCTCCGCCAACATTTATCTGTCAATATACGCCAAGCTCTCCTCACAAGGCTGCTACAGAAAATTTCTGGACTGCTGGCCAGCGGTCATCTTACTAGTGTTACAGAAGAGGGCTGGAATGCATGAGAGAGAGGGCAGTGCTCGCATGGCCGTTTGTATGCAATTCTCCGTCTCAAGGAAAAGTGTTAATATATGTAGACATTAGTGAGGAGGAAATTTATTTGTGTTCAATGACGATATACGTTCATGTGCGAGCGACAGGCGATAGCAGCTGACATGACGACGAGAACGCTCTGATTCCTATCATCCATCGAGTTCTCCGATAGCAGCTGACAGGCGATAGTTGCTGGCCCGATATGTCGCAAAAATGGCCCAAATCAACTGCGGCAATTTACTCGGAAAAAACTTTCACTAATCAGATTATTTTTTTTTAATCATATATATGACGCCTCTGCATTGATAAATTATCACGGGAGATTTCTTTTCATAAATGAACAACAAAGTATGCCCCTTATCCTCTTAGCTTTATTGTGTGTGTGTGATTTTTGGTAGGATTGAATATGAATTCACCCAAGTAAATAATCAAAACAAAACAAATCGAATCGGACAGTTGTAATTTGATCTTCTCCCACGTAAGACACAATAAACTGCAGCCCCTCTCATTTCTAAGAGGATGAAGTGGGAAGAGGGAAGAGAGGAGGAGAACAAAGAGGCGGAGGAAAGAGAGTAGGCAGAGAAAGAAGAAGAGCGAGGGAGACTGGAGGTGAAAAGCGAATCGGTTAAAGAGAATTTTGAATCGACATAAAATTCATTTACTGATCCAAAATTATTCAGATGGAACTTTTCTAGGCACGTCTTGTCTTCCAACAGTTTGAAGAGTGCGTAAATCTTCTTGTGGGATGGGGGTAGGGAATCAGTTTTGGCTGCAGCAGCTTAATGTTTCTTGTTGGAAAGATATATGCAAGGAAGGATCCAGAAATTTTCATGTTCCGATACAAGGAAGGATGCTGGTTTCAGAGATCAAAATAATCTGGTGGTAATACTACCGACTAGTTATCATGCAAGAAGCAAAAAATGAAAGAGCAATCAATGTTTAACCCCGCAGAGTAATCACAAGCTTTGCTAAACCAAGCTGCTAAAATTGGTAAAAACCCGAGCTGAATAGGAAACCATGAGAGTATACTCATCCCATCATGAAACAAACACAACAAAAGTCATAATTCATGCTTTGCTATGGAAAAAGATACACAAAATTTTTAGTCCGGACAGAACCATAGCTACCTACACCTCCATACTGATTTAAAAGAGAAGCTCCAACCACAGAAACATTCTCAGATAAGTTATTATTTCCCAACTATTTCCCTTGATTTGGGATGGCACCTTCTCATTCTCTATAGCTTTCATTTTGATAAGATGAGGTTCGACTGGAAGTTGTCCTAAGAGGATTGAATGGAACTGAAGGCCACATGAAGTTTCTCCCAGTTAAACAACTCCGTCCCAGGGTTGACAGCATAATAGACTCCAAAGGCAAGCACAAGCACGAAAATACCACTCTTCATGCAACCACAAGTACGTGTTAACTTCCCCAAGACTGCCTTGCAGCATCTGTCTGCATCTTTGATGGATGTAAGTTTGCTGGCATCCATACTCCTCGATAGGGCTTCCTCATTCTGTATAATATAAATTGTAAAAAGCTTTGAGCAACATATTAAGCCTGAGTCCATATTGATACATTTGCAACTAATAAGCTATTATTTCATGGTACCACCATTCATTACCAAAAAAAAGCCTATTTAGCAATTATATAAAATATCCAGAAATAAATAGCACCGCAGCAAGTTACTTACTTTAGCTCTCAAATTCTTAAGTGTTTCTCTGAGAGCATCAGGAGAAATTTTGGTCGAGTATTTTCCCCATTCACTTGATAGATTTTGAAGAACAGCAATACTTGCATCAACATTTTCGAGATGAAGTTTTTCCTGCATAATAAACCACTTAAACCTGTTGGATGGTTGATTAGAATAATCAAAGAAATGAGGAATAAGAAAGAATTAAGTTTTGTACAAGCACTCACCCATTGCCTGTAACATTCAGCATTCTGAGACAAACACCAGATGAATATATCTGCTGCTTCTTTTGTTAGTTCTGGATTCTCTGCACATAGGTTCATATTTAAATGAAGCCACAACTTGAAAGCAACAATCTAGAACATATCTATAGTGTGTGAAACATTTGAGTTAATACTTTCTTGAATTGCTTGAACAGCAGCAGGCAAAAGCTGCTGTGCTGCTTGTCTCGTGGTTTTTGTCCCAGGGGAGCCAGCAAGAGCCAGCTCTCTCAGAGTAGGATACACCACCTCAAACCTCTCTGTGGCCTGTGAAAATCTATGTTTCAGGAATGCCAGTCTTAAAGTTGAACCTAGGTAAGTGATTTTTTGCATGGAAACAAAACAACCTTGACACGTGCTGTAGGAGCAGTTAATGTTATTCGCATTAGCAAATCAAGTGCATTAGGCGGCACTAGGCGTTCCCCCTTTCTGACAGCACCATTTAATAAAATAGCTCGAGCTTTTGGCCTGGAGAGAATCCTGAAAACAAAATTGCAACGAGGAAGTATGACTACAACAACAACAACAAAGCCGTAAGAAGAAAGTACGACAACAGCAGATTTTTCATTATGGCATTGTTTTCATAATGACTAACCCTTCAACCAATTGCAAAACCAAGTCCCTAGATTGTGGGTTCCCACTTGATTTACCACAAACTACAGGAAATAGGTAGTGTGCCCATAAGTACATGCCAACAACTGGATCTCCCTGAGAAGCCTATCATAGAAGAACTATTCTCAGTATTACAGTAGTCAGGCTGGGTTCTGGATTCCTTCAAACAAATATGCAATTTGAAAGACAACATATTACCTGTGCAAAAAGCCAAACAATAACCAGAAGTTTCTCTTGTCCATGATATTGAGAATTGTCCTTTAATTTGGGCAAAAGACTAATAAGTGAGTCAGGCTTCCGTCTTAAGACCATTGCCAGAACAACGAATATTGCAACCTGTAATTAGTATTATCACATGCAATAATGTTAGTGAAAACTCCAAATTGAGAGCTGAATTGTGTGTGCATGCATGCACGCAAACATTGATTTACAAATATCCAATCAGGACTCATATATCTGTTTTTCACAAACTAATTGTATTTTAATCAATAACGAAAACTCAAAACTATCATTAAAATTATCACATGCAATAATGTTAGTGAAAACTCCAAACTGAGAGCTACATTCTGTGTGTGCATGCACACAAACAATGATTTCTAAATATCTTATCAGCACTCATGTCCTGTTTCTAAATATCATGTTTGTCCGAAAATTAAATTGTATATTAATCAATAAAAAATAAATTATCAACATTGACGTCTAAACTATGAGGAGAAATGTATTATAGATCCAACTAAAATTTATGATTTGTAACTGTAAAAAACTTTATAAATAATTAAATACCAAACAAATACTTAATGATTAAGAAAATTATGGAGAACCTACCTAGTGTTGAAGACTCCCACAATCCTTCCCTGCACTTGCACTCTTCCCCAATCAATATTGATGATCGACATTCATAAGAGAAGAGGACTTTGAAAAAGATAAGTGACCATAAATTTTATTTTCATTTCTATCTTAATTAAAAATAAACAAACAATACCTTCTTTAGAGTATCAAGATATAAAATAATATTTTGATTAATGTTTAATCAATGATTAATTAGTGTTTACCTAATTAATTAATTAATTAACACTAATAAAGGTATAATTTCCTATCTTGATCACCAAATAAGGTATTATTTTATTTATTTTTAATTAAAATAAATAAAAAATAAAAAATATTATCTTTTTCGAAGTCCTCTTTCCCTATATATACCAGTGAACTCCCCTTTTTCATCCATCTTCAAGGGAAAAGAGTTTGAATGCAGAGAAATATTATAGGAGTCTTAGCCACTAGATAGGTTCTCCGTTCTTTTATTTTAAGCATTTGTCAAGATTTCAGCTGCTTAATGATCTATAATCTGTTGATAGTTATAAATTTTAGATTTTAGATTTTTGATACATACCTCCTCCTAACTCTTGATTCAGTTGGTAGCTGACCAATTTAGTTATGGTTCAAGCCAATTATAGGGCTTGAGGGGCCGATAACGCTCTAATTTGTGGTACAATAAATTTAAAAGATTGATTTAATATTATTTGATGAAATTTTATATTGATAAATCTTTGATCGAGATTGATATTATATCCCTAACTATGTTTACACATGGCCATCAGAGCCACTCACATTGAATGAGCACCTGCGAAAGGTCTTCCATGCCATACCAAGTATGGTTTATCTTGACATTTTAGACATATCTAAATGTAATGTATGCATGAATGAAATTATAAATAATGGGTGTGTTACATATTAATAAGAAGATTTGTTTCTTTACAAGCCAATATTGGTAGGGCGATTTCGTTTAAAGATTAGAGGATCGTCAACCATGACAACTAGGCAATTCCTCTGTCTATGTTAGAAACATATCTCCTAACTTTGGTGGATGAGAAACTCCATCTATTGTTAGAAGTGTGACATGAGTTCTCTCCATCCATTACTGGGAAAATACAGTCTGTCCCATGAGATAATGCCTCTCTATTCACTAGGAGAGTGAACCATCAAGTGTCCAATATATATACTTATATTGTATGGGCATGTCACTTGATAGTTGTGTGTTTGAACTATGACATAAGACAGGTATATGATGATTTTACCATCCACTATTGGGAGAGTGGACCATCAAATGTCCGATATATGTATATATATATATATATATATATATATATATATATATATATATATATATATATATATATATATATATATATATATATA